TATAACTTCCAGGATTTCCAATTATCTTTCAATATTTCATACGGACGTTTGTTTTATACAGATATTTGGAGATTGTAATATTGCATAACTTATGTTACTAGGCAAAGGTTTAATTTGCTGTAATAGAGAAGTAGAGGATGTTATAACCATATAAGTTTATAGGAAAACCCATGCTGGGAGAAGCAAGAACTTGATTGAACTTTCTTTAAATCCACAGATTACAGAAAAGTTACAAGAGACTCCAACTGGGGACTTTCCAGAGGAATTTCCAAAAGTCTAAGAACAAATAACATTAAAAGACGTGAATAAAAAAAAAAGCCAACAACCCCCTAATGATCATTGTCAGACCCTCTGACCAGAATTGTTACCAACAGTTGTGCGTTGAACCAAGCAGAAATGGACTTTTGTTTTGAAAGGTGTACTTTTGTGGTTGAGTACTGTTTGTTTGTTATTTTTGTACATGTCATGTTGTATTATAAAGGTTAACCATCAAAAGAACTTGAAATGATTACAAACACTTTCTATTGAAATGTTATGCACAAGATGAAAAGACTTTAAGTGAAACATTGACTTTAAAAAAATATAGCCCACTGCCATTGGACTAATATGAAGCCACTGCGGAGCTCTCCTGGAAGCTGCCATTGACTGGTGCACGTGCGACTTCCTGATAAAGATGGAAGAGTCATGGTTTCAGAGCTTCGCCTCCACCTTGCATGTGCCCCTTTCACACGCAGTCTGTCATTTATAACTTATGTCCCCACTATGGGGGTGATCACCAGGGTTTGGTTTCACTCCACCGGTCATGTGAGACGCACTTGGAGCGAAAACAAACCACAGTAAAGTGAAAAAGTTACTGAACCTACTGACCTTCGATTGACAATTAGAAATGAGTGAATTGTTGTCTCTATGGTAACTATTGGCATGATTATTACTGATTGACAGCTGCTGTGGCTGATTAATGTGGCAGCTATTTTTGAAAAGTCACAGTTGCAGGATTTTTTCCCACAAAAATTGGAATTTCACCAACAAAAGCAAAAGGCTTCAACAAAGAGATTGAACTTTTTGTGCTGCTATTAATACAATTATATATTTACAATGAATCATTAAAATTGAAGGATTTTTGGCAATTTAGAAATAGTTTAGTTGGGATTTTCATAAAGAATGATGTTTTTTTCATTACTTCCCCCAATACGGATTTATCTTCACTCTTTGTGATTAAATGTAAATAAAATCTCTTATGAGGAATATGCACAACAAAAGTAAGGAAGGTCAAATTAAAGCAATCCCGCAGACATAATCAGTCATACATTATATGAACTTCTCTTCAACTCATCACCTTAAAATCTTTAAATGTGTGGGTTTGTGTTAAGATATTCATTTTAGTAAGATGCTGTTTTACGATCTATGTCATATTACAATATGTCAGATTTGTAAATAATAAATCCAAAATACTCTAGGTATATACATATATGTCTGTGCCTGCATGTGATTAATGGTTCCTTGGCTGTATTAAAAGCCATTATTTTTAGAGGTTGAATAATAGAGAAGTGCTATCAGTACTGGCTGTTATCTCAGAGGGTTTTATACAACAGCTTGAGTTCAAGGAAAACGGATGAACAGACCCAGATTGTTTTAAAGGATTCCTGTATATCACTTAAATAGATCAAGAGGTACCAAAGAAAAAAATAAATAGGAGAAAGAAAATAAAGAAAAGCCATCTGCACACCTTGAGGATGACCGAACCGTCAGCCTTACCTGATATTATACTTCAAATGTATTTGTAAAGAGTTTACTTAAGCGCGTTTCAAGTGTACATGCCAGACAGTACTAGATAGATACTTCTTGTTTTCTTACCTCATGGAACTAAACTGATCCACTTTCAGTACACCAATACATAGAACGTATCGTGGACTCCATATGTATGAGAACAGAATTCTTTTAAAATACATTTTGTCATATTTTTCTACAGTAGTTTGCAGTTTATTTAGGTGAAATGCATGTAATTTATTGTAATCTCTAAAAGCAGGTGATATATACAGTAATTCAGGCAAAATCAACCCTAAAAATGTGCATACTTTTCAGTGGGCCATCGTCAAGTGCCACAATCACCTTGGCCGTGTCTACATGCCTAAATGCATCGAGTTGCTTCTGTGTGATTGGCTGGTTAGAAATTTGCATGGATCCTTAGAAGAACACTTAGGAAATTCAGAAGAAACCTGAAATTGTATAAAAATACCATTCAGAGTAGTAATAATAACATTTTTTAATTTTACTGCAAACAGTTCTTATGTTTTATTACACAATCAAGAGTTGTGACAAAATAAAAACTTTTAATCCCCCCAAAAGGAAAGACCCGGTTAAAACAATGTGAAATTGTATAAAAAAAACTGGCAAACTTGTTTTTTTTGTGCTAGAACTTTGAAAAACACAAGCCATCTCACAGGCCTTGTACTTCCAAGGGGTATCTTTTCTTTTCACCACAAGATGACGCTGATGGCACAGATTTGAGGCTTGTAAAATGAAACCGAAAGATCCCATATTCTCTCACATTTTAATTGGAATTACTTTACAAATGATGTCATCTTAACACTTGTAGTATTTGTTTAAAGCCAAAAATATCAAAACTTATAACCTTTTTGAAACCTACACTTTATATTATATTTATATTTATACAGCCGCTGTGATTGGCAGGACGCACCGGTTCGTGCAGACTTCTGAGGCTTATTGAGCAGGTGTACCTAAGAAGTGGCCAGTGTGCGGATATCCTACTTATATACAACACTTGAAATTTTAGGTTGCTGCTGGTGTCGAAGATGTTGGATAAGAATTTAGCCACAATGTGAAGTTTGTTTTTAGGAATGTATTTTATGGCCACGGTATAGTCAGAAGATGGAAGATTCTGCTAATGTTCAAAACGTCCTCATGTAGCATTTATATGTGATCACGAAATAACCAATATGAAATGTCCCCATGGTCATTCCGCTTCATAACCCTAAGAGGACTTTTAGATTTGCGCCAATGTTCCAGAAGGTTCAAATCAACAGAGCCCACACTTTACTTTTAAAAAAGCATCACAAAACTATTAATTCTTACCCAAAGCTTGAGCAGTCACTTTCATAATGATGACCACAAACAAAAGCATGTCCATTGGTGGATAGGAACAGATGTAGTAAGGTCTTGTGGTACATCCACTCATCGCTCTCGTGACACTTTAATTTGTGGAGAAGCTTTCGGGTTTAATAGCGGACTGTTATCTCTGTCGTTTTGAGGGATAGCTTTGCAAAATCACTGCCGGTAAATATTTAGTTTGTTGTCTTCACACGGACAGGACATCCATCTCTCCTTGACCTCTCCTTGTGTCCTCTTGTTCCCTGTTTGAGAAAGCACACACCTCCGAAAAGATAAAGGACCATCCTCTTATTGTTACCAGAGATCACCCTGATAAAAGCACCTCTGCAAATACTCCCACCCAATGCAACCTCTTACACATTTATGAAGAAATTAAGGTTCATTAAATAAATACATGACTCACGCTTTGAAACAGTCTGGTACTGTAAGGGTTTCTTTGAGGTTTCTTGATGGAATGTGTCTGTTTCCCATTGTTTTGTTTATGGGGAAGTTCAAAAGGAAATATTTGCTGGATATCTCACATTTGCAGAGGTCACATGTTGGTGTGTGCTTATTCGTTGCAGCAGGCCAAATCAACACCTTGTAAGAAATACTTCTTCAGGTAGATTATTTCGACACTGTCAGCGCTATTTGTTTTGCCATTCTCCTGGAACAATTAATGACAGCCTTCGTTTAAGATCTGTTGGAGAAACAGGTTGCTCTGAAATACCCTCTGATCATCTGCCTTGCTGTAACATCTGCTCTCTCATTTCCACGTAAAACACACATGAGCAGGAATCTAGCAGAAAACAATCTGATATCAAACCAGCAATAGTTCATTGCCTTTGATCATACAGTTCCCTGATTTAGAATCCAAAAAGACTATGACGTTTTTTTCAGTGGCTATTAGTAGAGCATATGCCTCTGCCTTGAAGCTGCAGCTGTCTTCCGGGAGTCTTGAAGGTAGTGTCCCATTATTACTGCTTATCCATGCAGTGAAATTTGGATCAGATTCTCTGATGTATTAGATATGAAGTGTAAAAGTGAGATGGATCTGATTTGAGTTTTGAGGCGTATTGGACAACCAATGTCAATCTCCTGATGCGTAGGGGAGGTTCATAAGCTTCTACAATAAGCTCTGAATGGAGAAAGCACAAGTCCCATGTGGTGGATGACAACGGTTTTTATGTAGGAATTTATTGCATAACCAACCCCTTCTTTTAGATTGGGCCAAGACTTTAATTATGTTTATTGCATTTGTAGCTGATCCGTTTTTCCACCCCAAATGCTACTTTAAAAACCTGGATGTGTTCATTTTTCCAGCAGCAGTTGTAGATCACTGTGCAAGGATCATGAAGCAATGGTAAAAAAAAAACAAAAAAAAAAAACATTTTAGCTTTGAAGAATCTGGATTCATTAGTCAATGCAGAGTAAAAGCCAACCTTTTGTTATTTGTCTTTTGCTTCTGACAAAAAATTCTAGTCTCATTTCCGCTTAGACTTTTTCAAGATACAGCCAACAAACTTTTCCAAGATATCCAAACTGGTCTGACTTGGGTTTCTATGTCTTTTCAGACTGGTACCACTTAAAGAATGCCGGGAAATCGCTGAGAAAATTTCCATTGACATTCCATGGGGTACAGATTTATGAAACTGTAATTCCATCAAAGAACCTCCTGGAAACTTTAAATAGACACCACTTGTGGAGGTGACCAGTCTGTGCAAGAACATACTTAAAAAACTGAGCAAAAGTATTTGAATCTTAGGCTCTAGAGGGGGTTTAATACTTTCCTTTGACATAATGGCCATTGAAAATACATATTTTTTTATTTTGAAAGTATCTTTTAAGATAAAAAAAAATCATAGAGAAATGGTAATAACTTGCATATTGTGGCAGTCGTGGCCTAGTATTTAGGGTGATTGACTGGAGATCAAAACGTCGCCGGTTCGAGCCCCGGCTCCAGGGAGTCGAAGGTGGGATGAGTGTTGAAACTCTCTCTCTCCTGAGACAACCATTACTGTGATGACCTTGAGCAAGTCACCAGTTCCCCACAGCTCCCTGGGCGCTGCAGCCATGGCTGCCCACTGCTCCCGGTGTGTGTTCACGGTGTGTTTCTTCACTGCTGTGTGTGTGTGTGTACACTTGGATGGGTTAAATGCAGAGCACAAATTCCTTGTATGGGTCACTCCGTACTTGGTCGTAATGTCACTTTCACTTCACATTTAGCACATCACTAAAGCAACCAAACTGTTTACCCTAGCAACTACATTTTCTGAACTCGATTTCACTCGATGTGGTTTGTTAACTTTACTCACATTAAGAAAATGTTATGTCACTGACTCCCCATAGCAACCAGACTCAGTTTAAAACAGCAACCTATTTAGCATATCTCTATCCTAGCTTAGGAAGGTCATAGAGACATGGGGTTTGTTTATGTTACTTATTGTGACATTGTGAATATTTTAAAACAGCATTTGTACACGGTAACATAAAAGCTTCTTTACAAACATTACACATCTTTTTTAAGTGTGTCCATGCTCTTTCCTTTACATCCAGGTACAATCTGCATAGGATACTGTGTTGATTTTATAAAAAAAAAAAAATCTTTTTTTTTTTCTATGAATAGAGTCACAGACAACATACTTCTCTTGCTCTTAGATACCCTTATTTTAACAAATGTGTTCTCTCTTTTGGAAATACACTTGTTCTGTTTGATTCTAAGTTACTATCTCTCTGGGGCACCAGGAGTTAAGCACCACAAAACACCCCAACCACAGTAACCTGGTCTTTCCCATGTGGTACCCCATCTAGTTACTAACTCAATACTGCAAGTGAAAGGACTATGTAAGTGGAACAAATAAATACAAAAAAACACTCTCTTCTCCAAAACTGGATAAGTATTTATTGATATTGAATAACATTTCTCTTTTATACACATTTCATGAATGATACAGGATTTTACATAATTTTTAAAGTCCTCTAACATGAGTGCATCCGATGCCAATGACAAAAAAAAAAAAAAAAAAAACTTACCAAATAAAGATTATGAAAAACTTTTTATTCATTCAACGTCACCCATTTCCTATAATCCCCAAAATATAGTTTTGGTTATAAGTGCACATGAAGAATTAACACAATAGAATAGAATATTAACACAAAATAAAGGGTCGGGGATTATGCACAAAAGAAAGAGGAATAAATGGGGGGAGATTTGAGAGTAAAAGGATCAATGGTGTGCTCAGGTCTTTCGTTCTCCCTGTTCTCGGATCAGTGTTGAGAAGAAAGGCAAAATTGCGGCGATCGAGACAGAAGACGGGCTGAAAAGAGGCTTTAAAACAAGATAAAGGCAATCACAGCCGAGAGCTTCCTGCTCAAAGAGGACGAGAGACTGAGTGGAAAAAAAAGGAATAACTCTCTAAGAAGTAGATTTCTGTAAATCCGCAATCAGCATTCATAATAATAGATTTGGATTCATTAATAGATCATTTCCCCATGTAAACATACATTCATGCAAACACCCGCTTTAGAATAGATTTTATAGATTTGATATACTCTTCTTTAAAAATAAAACCCTGAAACAAACAGAAAAGCACACTGATGAATAATCGTTTCCACTGCTAACGAGAAGGAAAGTGATGTGGGATTTCTGACCAGATTTTAGCTCTGCAGTCTTTTCCTGGAGTGTATACTGATTTTATGATGCGTGATGGTCCGGTTGATTGTGTTTAATGATGGACGCAATGGTTTTGCATTGATATGGCTCAAGTATGAATATGGAATCAAAGTCTCTACTGTCACAATGACAGAAAATACGACAGAAATCAATGGCTATGTCTGTCAAAACCTCAAAAAGACTAGAAACAAGTATACAGCTTTTTTTTTCTATAAACGATGAACTATATTTCAACCATTTGGGACTTCAACAGCCCAAGCAACCAATGCTTTTTTTAGCCAAGATACCCTTCTGATGAATCATCTTCTGAAAAGTGATGACACATGAAGTGACTGGATATCCTAGTCATTTTGCAATTGTTACATTTCCCTCTATTGGTCCAAATGATTCGCATTTCATTATTCTGATGGAAAAAAGGACTAATCATGTGATAAGCACCCATTTGCTTTAATTATTCCATTTCTCCCTGGAACTTCCGGGGCTTGGCGCTCCACTTGCCCTTTGACATATGGTACAAGGGGCTAAAACTTTTAATCATTATTACATAAAAAACCAATATGTGACATAACAAAAGTTAGAGTCAAGGTTTCCTAAAAAATTACATTTATCAAATGTAGCCTTTAACTTTTGTTTCCGAACAGCAAACATAGTTATTTTAGGACACCTTGACTCTAACCTTTGTTAAAGCACATTACTGGCAATCTACATATAATGTTGTGCTTGAAAAAACAGATTTAAAGCATTTTTGATGTAATAACGACCAAAGTTTTAGCGCCTTCTACCATTGTCTGTTAATGGGAGAGTGGAGACCCAGGACCCGGAAGCGCCGCATTCTAAACACTGCCCCAGGTTTAATTCAACACTGAATCGTATGCTAATTATACTTGCAAAGTGTTGCATTTAACACAGAGGCAGTGTTAATATAGGTCCAATTGTTTCTTGGGATTTAAATTGAAATTCAGGCTCCAAATAAACTCAATTTGTGCACTTGAGATCTAAAAGAACACTCCATTGTGTTTTGAGTGAACTATGGTGAAGGAAATGGAAGGTTATCAATGCAGTCCTTCATTTATTATTCCCAAAATAATATTTCTATAAATAAAAAAAGTGGTTTATTTTCCTTTTAATAGAGCCAAAGCCTAGAATTCATACCCTGTATTATTTTGACACATTCCAACCCGATATTTGGAACTAAGCAATTTTTTTGGAGAGTAATAAAACCCTTGTGGATTTGAATCATCCCTGTTCCAATAGACTATAACCATCTCTATTCAAACCAAAGCTTAAGTTTCCTTTTTTAAACACATGATTCAACTTTGTAGTCATTTTAATGCTAAATCTGTTTCAAATCTACAATAAGCAGTAAATAAAGATGAGATCACGCCAGCTAGCATCATTGCTAAGGACTTTCGGCTAAAGAAAGCACATGTAGACAAAGAATGCACAGCAACTCCCTCTCTCTACAGCATGCTACGGAGTGTTCAAAACACACAGTACGTCTAGAGCTAATATAGTACACCTTCTCTGCATGTTCCAGAAGACTTGGCATGTTGAGGCAGATGCATGCAGCTAAAAGCCACATGGTCGAAGGAAACAGTCACATCTGTAACTCAAATTTTCTAAATAAGAACTGTTTTACTCATTTTCTGGGTTTCTCTCAGACTCACAACGAGCTGCAGCAGGATGCTGTGAGGCACTGTGGGAAAATGTTTTGATGATAATGGAAAGAAGACCAACTGAGAGCAGAATAGACCTTTAAACCTTGCTGTATATGTGCGAGTCTCATTATAATGTAAACAGATGGAGTGCCGAACGGTTTTCTAAAATAGAACACAAGGATCAGAGGTTTAAAGAGCCAGGGATGGAGCATAAGAGGGTTGTTGATGGAAAAATGCGACAGTAAGATCTCTAGATATGTAATATCTGAAAAGATGGATGAAAGTGGAAAAGATATATATAACCAGAGAAAAATATGTAAATAGAATAGAATAATATGGCTTTTAAAATAAAAAGTGCCAACAATGTGTTGATTCTTTTGTTTTTTTTTTGGAATAGTAACACAGTGATATTTCAGCTGTTAGATCCATCTTCAGCTCTTAACAGGTCTGTACCGAAAGAGAAGAAAGAAAGGCTGAGGCTGTTGGAAACAGCAATGTTTTAGCCAATAAAAGACTGGTTTCGATGGTAAACTGTACTTCTCCTAAATGGAAAAAGAGTACCACATCCCAGAAAATCTCTTCTTCTGAGTTCTGGATCTTGAGAGCAGGATCTTGATGCGGAACAAACTGTTCGACCCAAAGGCAAATGGTTTTCAACCTTCAAATCCCATACAAAAGAGCCATGTACTGCCTGCATCCCAGTGTTCTATCCTCCAGTCTGAAGTAGCGGCAGTTTCTCTGTGTGGTCCTGGAGTGTTCACGAGAGCTCTAGAGATATTTATGTTGCTTTCTCATTTATTTCATCATATCTCTTCACCTCTGCATAGACTTGCCAAACGAAATCAAAAGAAGAAGAGGGAAAGTGATCAAACTGGAGCTTGCTGTGGATATGGTTTTTCTTTGAGATTATAAGGGTAAAACTGAGCAATAAAAAGAGAGAATAAGTAGAAGAGAAAGACCTAAGACAGACAAAGAGGCAGTTTCCCATCAGTCCTTGCTGGAGGTTATTTGCTGGACTGGGATGTTGAGCTGAAGAGGGTCTCGGAGCCGTTTTAGATCCAACTCCGCCTGAGGGACAAAAACAAAACTGTCAGCAGAAACTAGACTTGATTCAGCGCACATCCTCTGCTCTTTTCCATAAAATATGGAGGCACGGTTTGTATCCGCTCCCCATGCTTCCTCCCACAAAAATCATGCTTGCGGTGAAACGAAACCTCTTGTATTGCGTCCGATTTAAACTAGTCGATATCCCAGAGTGCAATGGAAATACAGTTTTAGAGCAGTAGTATAGAGGATATGCATACAGGATGTCATGGTATCCGGATATCATACAGCGAGTAGTAAAAAGCATATTCTGTGTTGTTTGTTTGTTTGTTATTTACAGCCATTTCGACAGAGTTGTCATTTCATGGCTACATCAGTCTCTCATTTGGCAAAATAGTTTTGGCTTTATAATTGCATTTTTAAATGCACTAAGAATTAATGTTAGTTTGACCCACATCAACACTGAAAATTGGGAAAAGCTGTTGTACGATTGACTGCTTGAACCAATTTTCAGAGTTCAAAGGAACTATTATAAAAATGGCCAAAATTCAAAGTAGGGAGAATCTACTGGTTTGCTACAATTTGAA